AGCCTGCCCCGGCCTGTTTGGTTTTTCTTCCTTTCTTTTTCTCTCTTCTTTCCCCCTATTTCGCTGGTGTCACCCGGGTGGTGCGAGGGGACGACCGGTGGCGCGTCAGGATGAAGGGCAGCGTTACACGGTGTGAAGTTCTGGAAAACAACCCCCCGTTGAAACACCTTTTTGGAAATTTAATACAATAATAGAGCTTATTTCGACAGAAGTGATTTTCGGCAGCAGTCACACAGTGTGTGTTACCCCGCAGTGCTAGTAATGAGCTTAGTTAGCTGACTGAGTAAAAGCCTGTCTTTTTCTGCAGCCTAAACCTGAAATGATTCTCATAAAGACTTGGGCTCACTTAGCAAAAAGAAGTTATTTCCAACGTGGGGAAGGGTGAAACTCAGCAAAACGCTTACTGGAAGTTGAAGTAGAAGGAGGCTGTTCCTTTTTACTACTTTTGTCCTTTTTAGGGTGTTCTTGTGGATAGTGAGGGTTGATGTGCCCTGTGCTGCTTTGGGGAAAGGCCGACCACCCCCGAATCGTGCTGGAAGCCTCTGCTGTTGCCACATTTGCCACTAGATTCTAATTGTACCTTCAGCAAAAGCCCGACAAGTCAGAGATGATTTATTGCCTTCAAGAGGCAAGTTAACTCATTGCAGTTGAGTTCACATTTACGTCTGACATCACCTGTGCTGAAAGGTTTATACCAGTCCCTTCAACTCCCACCTGCCTGACCTCATGTGAACCCACTGAAATAATAAACTTCAAAGCAAGTAACATTCTGAATTAACTTCAGAATTGTATATTTTTTAATTTTTGTGGGGTTTTTTTCTTTCTTGCTAGAACGAAGATTTAAAAGTGAAATGTAAAAGAACAAAGGAGACTAAACCAGATACAGAGTAATAAGATTATTTATGCATTAGCTTTCCATGATAGTCCTTAAATAAATAATCTTATCTTGGTGCATTTTTGTTATTGTGACAGATCATGTCTTCTGCCAGGTACTTTGCTGTTGCTGGTTGGTACAAGCTTGAGAGTATTCAGTGCATGGATCAGTCAGTCAGGTTGATGAAGTGTCATGGGGGACAGAGACACTTCTGTCACAGTCTCCCTGTCACTTCCTTAGGCAGTCGATTCTTCCAAGATACTGGAAGCTTGGCCCAAAAGTCAGTATTTCTGTCCTCAAGTATCAGTTAAAGGTTAGTAAGGTGCATAGGAGCCTCCCTTTCTTAACACACTAATATGAACACCCTGGATACGTGTCACTGCTGCTACCAGCATTTGAATGTCCTTTAAGTTTACTGTTTCAAACAACCACCTGAGACTGCCGCTGGGGTGTGTGTGAGCAGATATTGCTGTGCTGGTGTCAGCTGGGGCATATCTGAATGTTTATCAGTGTCTGGATCATTCAGTGGAAGTTGCCAGGCATCGGGCTGGAATGTTGGTTTATACTGAAAAATCTGCCTCTGGGCTTATTTGTGCCAGAAAGTAGCTGTGATAATTTCCTTAGTGCTTCATTCTTTAATTGTACAATGAGATTTTGTCAGAAAAATATCAGTCAGACCTTGTGCTGAGCACAGGGACGAGGTTTTTGTGTTTAGCCACTAGCTGATGTAGCAATAACATGATTTCTTTTTTTCTTGTTTAGCCTACCTCCACCCTTCAAAGTTCAGCACATATAGAAGAGTGAGTTTAATGTTCCCAAGAGACTGCCCAGCTAAGACTCTTGTGAGAGTGAAGTGAATTTAACAGCAACTAGAGCCTTACAGTGTGGGTGTAAGACTGCTGCCTGGCCTGGGTCTGCTGCCAGTGTCCTGTCAAAGGCTGGAGGTGAAGTCCCGCAGCTGCAGTTTCTGATCAGTAGATGTGCACAGGCAGTAACATGGCACTCACAGCTCAGTGCTTGATGCTGTGTGTGGTTTTGTAGCTCATCCAGTACAGTTTTCAGTGCATTTTTTGTATCAGTGGTGTTCTCTGAACTAAAATTGATGGTTGTTAGATCACATGCAGTGCTTAGTGATAAAATAATTGAGTTTCTGTGTTAGTGCTTCATCCTTTCAGCCCAAATCTCCCTGTTTTGTGCTCAGGGCTTTGTTCAGGTGAGGTGGTTTGTATTTTCTATTTATTTAAGGGGTCTTTACTCAATTCCCTTTAGAAGTGATAAAACAAACCTCAATAAAGGAACCATTTATGAGGAATAAGCCCCCAAGAGAGGCAATTTATGCAGAACAGCTACTGCATTGTAAGCATACACCACAGCTTATTCTCAACTGACAAGTGCACTTGGCAGATGTAGTCTGCAGATTCAGTCGAAAGAACACAACTGTGTGTAAAAGTGAGCCAATATTTTTAAGTTTACTGTGATATTTTCATAGTTTATCCTATGAAATCTCAAGTGCTTTGCTGTGTGGCAGTGGCACTCAGCAGAGGAATGCAGGATTGGAAAGCACAATGATTGTTATTCCTCCCTCACGTTTACAGACAAAGCAATGCCAGTGCAGGTTTTTCAAAGATTCCTTTTTTAGTCATCTTAAAAATAACTGCAAATCATCTTCAAGGAATCTTAAGTTGCATGTAAGTTAATAAACCAACATCAGATCTCATTTGACATGGTCCTCTTGGTTGTGGCTTTATAAAAGCCTGTGTGAGTTTTCCTGGCAAATTCAGGCTCATCCATAATGCTTTTCTTCTTTACTTTTCCCATTACAGTAGCAAGGTGAATGTTCTTAAATGTCCCCTTTCAACTGAGATTCCAGCTCTTGGTTTTCACTGTCAACCTCTTTCAAAGCAAATGAACTGCACTACTCTTGTCATTCTTAGTGTTTTTATTCTTGTTTTGGAAGAGTTTTTGGAGTTTTCTGTAGGATTCTCTCATCTCTCTAACAGAAAAACCATGTATTATCAGCAAGTTTGTAATTGTCATTGTTGCTATACAGCTTTTCTGTCACAGAGTTTTTGTCAAAACTAGAAAGCAAGTGAGAAATTTGCCACTTTAAGTAGGAGAGGTGGGTTCCAGGCTCTTGTTTATCAGGAGCTTGAGAGATGTTGAAATCTCAAGCATGACATATGTTGATTCACATCATACCTAGTCATGAAATGTAATCCTACCCGCTGTTGCAAGAGGAGGAAGAGGCTGTTTAGTTGCTCAAAGAGTTTGTTGTTCATGTTGGGAAGAAGCTGTCCCAACAAAGTCAAGATTATGCTGAATTTACTTCTGCCTGTCAACATGTGCCAAATATGACATTGCCTTTCAGTTTTCTTCAGGACAGCTTCTTGTTGTCAAGTGGTACCTCAAACTCTTGGAAACTGGATTTTAGTACAGTTCACAGGTGAAAACCAAATCCAGATGTGCAGTCCGGGAGGCTGAGACGCTTGTCTGGTAACTTTTTGTGTAATAAGGGGACATTTCAAAGGTGTCTCTTTCTCTTCAGGGGTTGAATTATTTCACAGTAAGTGCTGGATGTTGATTGTGTTTATCACTCTTTGAGGGTTAGTTTCATAACTGGGATGTTCCCTATTTCATGAGACAGTGGGGCTCTTAATTGTCTGACAGAGGACATGGAATTACTTTTGGGTCATCTTGGGCCAATCCAGGCCAAAAATCACATGAACAGCTTCTAATGAGATGAACGTTAAAGTGGTGAAGAGAATTTATACTGAGTAACTGAAATTTGTTCAGAGTTCAGTGCTGTTGCTGAAACCTTGGAGCTCCATTTAATGTAAATAAATTCTGAGGTTTGGTGGCATTGGGATTAGAATGGTAGTATTTTTAATGTTTAATTTTAAGGTTTGCCTTTTATTTCAGGTATCACTTGTGGCCGTACACGCATCCCTGTTTTAGGAAAACTTGGGACTTTTGAAACTTGTTCCCTGAGGCGAATCCCTCTTAGAAACTTTTCGGAAACACCAGCGTACTTTGCTTCAAAGGATGGTGCAAGCAAGGATGGTTCTGGAGACGGAAACAAGGTAGTCCCCACTCACTAGGTTTTTCAGTAATTTACACAGAATGCTTCCTAAATGTCTTCAGTAGAGTGTTTCCTTACTTCCAATTAGAATCTTGACATTTTTGTTAACTCTTGACATTTCTGATCCTTCAAAGTGCTACAACTGGCAGTGAAAATAAATGATACTGTGAATTTGTTAGCAGACAAACCTATGAACATCCCTTAAAGCTTTTCCCAGTTTTATAAATCTCTTTGCCTAGTGGAAAGTGACACTTGAAAACTTTGTAGAATGTTAGAAATCCACAACAGGTTTCAGGATCTCAGGAAAGAGATCAGAATTATTCTCCTTCAAAAGCCTGCTATCCCCAAGTAGGCTTTTCAAAGTAAGTACATTGGAAGATGTTTGTGTTTTCAGCACTGATTTGATAGTTGTACAAAGCAAGACAAGTTTGTGAGGAGTTTTATTCTACGTTTATTCTGGTCTTTCCTTGTAATTAGTTAATAAATAGCTTCTTCAGATAAATGATTATCTGAGACTAAAACTGCTCTTTAGTCAGCAAAGATGATTTTGGGAGTTCACGGGAAATAATTTTGCCTTAGTGCGGTGTCTTGTGACATCTCAGGAGCTGTCCAGACGACACAGGTGTGTCCTGAAGGTTCAGATTAAACTCCTGTAACCAATGAAGAAGGAAGATGAAGTTTAATAGTCTCTTTTCTTGAGAAGGCTTACAAGGAGAAATGAGTAGGCAAGCAAGGCTTAAGAAAATGGGAACTGCCCTAAAATGGGAAGAGAGACCTTTGCTGTTTCTTAAAAGTATAATAGCTTTTATTATTAATCAGGTTATGAAGGCATACAGTGGATATAGATTTACAAAGTGTTAACCTTCAACACCACTAAGGGTAACACAGAGGAAGACAAGTAGGGTTCTGTCTGGGATCTCTGCCTTAGAAGTGAAAAGTAAAATGTTTCCGAGCAATTTGAGATGCATATTTTATATCCCATATGTGTCACCATAGCTTTATCTGTCAAGGACAAGAAGAGTTGTGGCTTCAGAAACCCTTAGAGTCAACACAGTTGTGATAATTAAATTACTCAGTCTGTAAGGACTGTAAGTATGATTTGTTTTCTTCTCTGGGCTTAGGAGAAATTGCATTGAAATATGCTATTAAAACAGTCTTGACACGGTTCAGCTTGTTACTGTTCTAATGCCAGCCAAGCAATTCTAACATAGATATTGGATACCTCTTCCATGGGCATCCAGAATTGGCAGACCTGGGAAATGTAGATGTGTGGACACTTCAAAATGTATATATTGTAGTGTTCATAGTTTTCAAAGGCATTAACAAGTCCTGGCCATAGTTATTTTGTCATCCAGCTATTGCAGTATTCACATTACTGGATTCTGTAACGCGCTGGTGACTGCTTCATGTAACAATTCCATTGTTGGGGACTAATTGTCTGGAAATCTCTTTCAGAAGTCTGTCAGTGAGGGGGGTGGTAAAAAGTCCAGCTCCGGAAACTCTGGGAAAGGAGGGAACCAGCTGCGCTGCCCGAAGTGTGGTGACTTGTGCACACACGTGGAGACCTTTGTGTGTAAGTGTTAATTAATACTTTATTAAATAGACACAGATATGACTGTATTTGTGATCTGACATATTCTGATAGCTAACTTTTAACCTACCTAATTATACGGTGTCAAAACTTCCGTTATACTTAGTTTTGCCATGTTGGTGTAAGGTTGTATTGTCTCCGTGGGTACATCCGTGTGATTTCCTATGGTGTGTAGTGGAGCAGAATGTGGTGGTGGAATTTGGACTGCATCTGAATAGGCAGTTTTAAAGTAGTTCATTATGTTTTATTCAGTGGAAGAGGTGCTCACATAAACGATAGCATTTTATCTACTGATGTTTGTTTATATACCCATTTATAGTATGTCTTCAATTTACTAAATAATAAAACTTTAATCTTGCACATACTATAACCAAAGTGCTTACCCAGCAGAGGAATTAGTGTATGACAGATGACTTATTAGAATGCTCTTCCGTGGGGAAGCCAGATCCATAATACATTCCAAATAGGAGTCTGGAAAGTCCAAATAGAAAACCAAAGCTGTGTCAGATGCCTCGTGTCCAGCTGCAATAGCTACTTTTTCTCAAGTACAGTCCATATTAATGCCAGTTATGCTTTATGTTCTATAAGACTTGAAGACATTTCTCCTTATTTCAGTGCTAATGAGACCAGCTTAGAAAATAGTTGTCAGAAAGCAAATACCAGTTAGTTGGTAGGGCTCAAGGAGGAAGTATCAAGTCATGATCAGACTTGTGCACTAAGAAGCTTAAGACAAGGTCAGCAGAAACTTGTTCAACACCAGTTAATGTGGCAGTGGGTGAAAATAATGAGCGGATGTGCTACTTTTTGCTGTTATTTGTATAAAATGCTATTTAAGAAAAAGGATCAAACATCATGAATCATGAGACAATTCTATAATTAGAATATATTTATGTTATATACAAGGATCAGTCCTCAGTCCCTGTTTTTTTTTCCCCAGAAACAATAAGCTTTTTTTTTGGTTTGTTTGTCTGAAACTTTAGTCAGTGAGGTTTTCTGAAAAATCTGGCACTAGTTGATGGAGCCAGAAATAGAATCCTGTGTGGTGGTCAGTATGTTGGCCTCTCCCTGGACTAGGTGTGGTTGAAAACAGTGGAAGGATTTCTAACCTCATTTACCTTCTTATCAGATGATTCATGAGTAGACAGAGACATTTTGAAACTCTCTCACTTCACTCATGTGTTTGCTCCCCTTGTTACCAGAGTTTGTGCTTTTATCTGGAAATACCTCTGGACAATCACTGTGTATCCCTGGAAAGCAGAGGCTGATTTAGTATGTTGTCAGTGTTCCTAAGAAAACTTTCTTAGGAAGAGGAAAAAAATGCCTGGCATTTGCAATCTCACATTCACCAGTACTGATACTGCAAAACCTGGAAAGAGTTTGGGACTGGAAACCTGCTTTGTGCTTGTAAAAACAGTGTTCTAGGTGGTCAGACATGTCAGAAGCTTCAAAGTCAAAATATGAGGAAGTCTCCTTTGAATAGCTGAATGTATCTCCTCTTCTCCTCGCATGTACTACTCTGAGGACTAAAGCTGTAAAAACAGCTTTAAATGAATCTGTTATTAATTAGTTCGAACTAAGCCCAGTGTCACCAGGTAACGGAGCAGAGCACACTTCTGTTCATCTTGAGAAGAGCAGTCCTCAGTTCTCTGTTAATTGGTAACTTAAATTAAACCAAAGACTGAAATTACTCTGATTTCTCAGAAATTCCTGTGAGTCATGGGCCTGTCTTCTGGTTTAGTCTGTTCATTTGAGCACGCTGCTTCCCAGCCAAACTGTAGAATATAAAGCACTTGAGAACAGAAGAGTGAAGTTCTAATTATCTTAGAAACAATTAAAAAGAAAACAAAACCTAATAAGAGATCTCTGTCCCATTCTGCCCAAAATGAATGGGTTGCAGCTTGTATTAAACATACTGTAATTGGATTTTTCAGATAAGCCTTTGCTTAGTTAGCAAAAATGATGAATTCTTTCAATTCTGGTTTGAATGACTGAACTGCAGAGCTTTAAGTAAATATCTAAAGCCAAAGGAAAATGTTTATTTGTTTCTAAATAATATTTTTTTCAGACTTTGAGAGAGGTAGGGGAACAAAACACTGACTAAAAGCCACATTTGTTAGTAAATTAATTGCCATTGAGTGGCAGTGGGATGGGCTGGTTGTCCAGTGGAGTTTGCTTTCAGTGGGGCTTCACTTTGCATTCACAAATCTTGTATAAGGATTTGCTTGGTAATGGTTTTCCAGTAATTAACAGCTAAGGAAGGAATATGATGCAAACCAACAGGAATTTTGCTTTGACACACTTTCTCAGCAGTTCCTGTGTTGCTTTGGGTTGTGAGGCTCTGTAAGAAGGGTTTCGTGATCAGTGAAATAAGATGTGAGCCTCAGATGTGGGGTGAAATCCAACAGCTATAAAGCTGATCGGTATAAAAAGCCTTGTCTAAGCACTGCTTTTACTGCCTCCGCTTGACACCATCAGGTCAGCTCCCATCCTCCAAAGCAAGACTTCCCTGCTCTTTTTCCTGATGTTTATTAGAGCAGTTTAATAGTAGCCCATTATCTCAACCCTGCAAGTGTTTTTAAGATTAATCCCCCAATTGTTTTGGCTTCCTGTACGTACTGTAAAAACTCAGCCTTTCTCTTTGGCAAGGTCAGCTCCTGCAGACTTCACAAATCTCTTCGCAAATGCAGCTCTATGCTTATGTTGCCTGAAGCAAAAATAACTCTTGAGTTGCAGTTTAGCACACTGTAAATATTTGCAGATGACTTTATAACAGTGAGGTAACTTGACATGGAGGCTCTTTGCCATGCTTTTATGTTTGCTAAAAGAACGTGCCAGTATTTAAAAATAGCAAAGTTGTTTGCAAACAGGGAGATAGCAGTACTTAAACTTGGTTTCCTTACATTTAGAACAAACTTCCTTTTTCTCTTTCTGCTCTGTTAACAGTCATATTGGTGCTTTTCTCAAGATTGCTGTGTAGATGATAGAAACTGGCCAGTTACATGACTCTGTTTCTGTAACCAAGTCTCCTTCCCCAGGCTCCCCATACATCAGTGTTTCCCTGCAACTATGGATGCTATGGACCTGGAGAGTCCAGAGGAGGCCATGGAGATGCTGCGAGGGCTGGAGCAGCTCTGCTCTGGAGCCAGGCTGAGAGAGCTGGGCTGGGGCAGCTGGAGAAGAGAAGGCTCCTTAACGGAAGACCTTAGAGCAGCTCCAGTGCCTAAAGGGGCTACAGGAAACCTGGAGAGGGACTTTTGACAAGAGCCTGTAGGGACAGGCCAAGGGGAATGGCTTTAACCTGCCAGAGCGGAGACTGAGATGAGCTCTGAAGCAGAAGCTCTTCCGTGTGAGGGTGCTGAGGCACTGGCACAGGGTGCCCGGAGAAGCTGTGTCTGCCCCATCCCTGGCAGTGTTCAAGGCCAGGTTGGACACAGGGGCTTGGAGCAACCTGCTCTAGTGGAAGGTGTCCCTGACCGGGGCAGGGGTTGGAGCTGGATGAGCTTTAGAGTCCCTTCCAACACAAACCAGGCTGGGATTCTACTGGTCTTGCCAAAAATTAGAAGATCTCTAGTAACCTTCCTCTGTGCTGTTTGGGGTAATTGATAAAAGTGTACTCTACACACATTTTTCAGTGAATGATGTTGTAAAGATGCACAATAGTATTCTTACAGCCTGCTCCTTATTTTCTGTTTAGTTAACCATCCCTCTGGGTCTGTAAAGGGGCAAATTTCTTATGGCTGTCAGCTGACTAATAAAGCTGACTATTAGCATTGCAGGGATGCTTTTTTGCTAATTTATGTTAGCAAGGACAACAGCCTTATGGCAGTGTGGTCACTCAGAGTATCAGAGGTGTTTTGAGTGGTCATTCAGGGAGAGTTTGGGCTTTTTTATGTTTTTGTTGCTAAATAACAGTTATGTGAGAGGGGTGAGTGCAGGCAGGTGGTTCTCCACCCTGTTCCCATCAGGCAGATTACAGTAATTTGGAAGGATGCCAGAAGAACTTTCCAGCCTTTAGACAAATTTTCTTTGGAGTAGAGGTAATAAAGCTGTGGTGGCCATAGCATTATGTGCTACATTCTTAAAGGAATCTGCTGGTCTGTCTTACCCAGTCATAAGAAAAAGGAAACCCCTCTTTACTGATGCCAGCTCTATGGGAGGCAACAAGTTATAAATAAGCAGCTTGTTTATTGCCAGTGGCTGTTATTAAAATCAGCTGCTACTATGGTGGTCAGGGCATTTGCTAAGAAGTTTTTATGATTTCAGAAGTTTTGATGCAAGTTTTTCATGTTTTGCTACATTTACTTTGCTTTTAATACATTTACTTTAAATTAGCCCTGTTGCACATGATTTGCGTTTAATAGCATGGTAATATGGTCAGAAAAGATCTATTTTGAATTGCAAATTTATTCTTCTCTACTGTTTATTTTCCATTATTTCAACTTTGTTTTTCCAAAGGAAAACACAAGTAGTGCAAGTTCTAGATTATAGGCTTTTGAAATCAGTCTCTGTAGATAACATGTTTTCTCGAGACAGAGTTCACAAAGTTAGTGGTAGGAGGGTTTGGCTTTTGGAATTTGAAAGAAATGTGTTCTCCTCTTGACAGTAAAAATAAATAAGCAAAAGATCTTGCAAAACATCAAAGTCCTGCTCATCTGTTGCATACCACAGCTGCCCCTGCTTGGGATGAGCCCTTTGTGTGACCCTGCTGCACATGTCCTGGGCCTAGGTGGCTCGAGCGGGCTGTGTAGTGTTCCGGAGCCAGTGGGATGCAGAGACTGGGATCTGCCACAGCTTACCTGAACCTACTGTCTTTGAGATTGTAGATTCCTTTCCTGCACTTTGGTCTGTCCCTCACTACATTTTTTTTGTCTGTCAGTTTTGGGGTTAGGAACAATTCCTGCATAGTTAGAAGTCCTCATTAGTTTTTGCACTGCTTTGAGGTGCCAAGTTTCCTCTTCCAAGTGTAGTGCTACTGAATAAGTATGAAATAGATGTTTGCTTTTTAATCCCTTGTTTGGTTGCTGCCCTGCATTGTGACTTTTTGGGCAAACTGTATTCCCTTGTTGTCAAATTTCATAGTCCAGTAATTGCTCCAAAGGTGAATGAAGGGGAAGTGTGTAAGCACAGAGGTGGCTGTGCTGTCTTACAAGTGCTTGTCCCATGGCAGTTTAATGAATGCTGAGTAATTCCTCTTACTGTTTTGGTTTACTTTTTCTGCAGCTTCCACCCGCTTTGTGAAGTGTGAAAAGTGTCACCATTTTTTCGTTGTACTGTCAGAGGCGGACACGAAAAAGAGCATCATTAAAGAGCCCGAGTCAGCAGCAGAAGCTGTGAAATTGGCATTCCAGCAGAAGCCGCCGCCTCCACCGAAAAAGGTTTGGTTCTTAATGTCACTCCAGTGTTTCCTTGTATTGCAGCATGGTGGAACATTTTACTTCTTAATCTGCATCAGGTGTGTAATGGTTGGAGCAACAAACAATAAAGATGATTAGCTCAAGATTAAACCCTTCAGAGCTATGTGACCCAGCAGAGCACTGATAAAGGAAACAAGTAGATCCAATGGAAGTAGTTGGGCTTGTTTTTCCTCTGCCTTCATCTTGTGACTGACATCCAGTACCTTCATTTTCTCCTTATGACCCGGAGGCTAACCTCAGCCCTCACCAACTGCAGTATTATTTCCTGCTCTTGGCATACTCTGCACCCTTATGTTAGCATAAGGGTGCTGCTTGAGCTGCAGAAGCCTGGATTTGGCCTGTTTCTGAGTGAGAACTTTGTCTGCTTAACTTGTGGCCATGACATCTTAAGTCATTTGGTTTCCCTCTCCCGAGTAGTGAGGGAACTTAATGTGTTTCTCAGTTCCTAGTGGACTGCAATGGTTTCTGAAGCTCCACATAGCTCCTGAGTAGGCTGCCCTTTCTGTTGCTCTTACAAATTTGGGTGCAAATGACAACGGGTTTAAATATTAGTAGAGGAGAACTGACAGACACAATATGATTGTGTAAACTCCAGGTTTTTAAGTAAACTTATCAACAGGGATATATTCTGTATTTTAAATGTTGGCTTTCTGTTTCTTAGTTCTGTAATGGTTGGTTTAGGCCGAAGTCCATCTTTGGCACAATATACTATCTTCTCTTTTCTGCTGCAAGGTGATTTAAAGTGTTACTAAGATTGAGTTATTTTTCAGATTTACAACTACCTCGACAAATACGTTGTTGGTCAGTGTTTTGCCAAGAAGGTGCTTTCAGTTGCTGTGTACAATCATTACAAGAGGATCTACAATAATATCCCAGCTAACCTGAGACAGCAAGCAGAAGCTGAAAAGCAGACTTCTTTAACACCAAGGGGTTTGTATGATGTTTGATATTTCTTCTGGTCAAATCAAACTTACCCTCATTTAAGAAACCCTGAGAAAGGTTTTACTTTGATGTCAGATGTTCTGAAAGTGACATGACCTAAAGGAATTAGTGTTAAATTTAATTTTCACTGTACATGAACTTCTGTGATTAAATAGTAATCCAGAAGCTTTATGCTGCCATGGGTATCGCCTTCTGTGTTAAATGTTTAGCTTTTTTTGCTGACACATATTATTAGATATTTATTATACCTATTATTAAATACCTATTATTAGGTATTTAACTTTATAAAACGAGCTTCCTAAATTTTACTTTCTAATCTCATTTACTGCTTAACAGTTGATCTGCTGCTTAATCGGCAAGCCACAATGCAGATCATGAAGATACTATTTTGCAGAGGTAATTTGATGAATAGCTGGGTTTCCAACCTCACTTAGCTGCTGCTGGCAGCATCTGTTGGTCACCATAGTATTGTTCCATATCTAGTAGGTGTAGATGGAGTTACTCTTGGCAGTACTTTTGCTACCGAGTAAGAATGTAGCTATGTTGATCTTAATTTATTTTTAGAAGTAGGATTAAGTTACTGTCTCTGATTCAAAGTCTACCTTGATTTTTTTTTTTTTTTAAGGTGTTTTGTGTTCTCTTATGAAAACTAGTATGCTGAGAAAACAGAAATCTGCTTTGTTTTTGAATTTACATAAAGAAGTGTTTTAACTGAGGGGGGAACATGAGTAGCACTGTTCTGATAGTGGCAGGAGAGCAGTTGTGAACGTGGCACTGGGAAGATACTGACCCTCTACAGGGAAATAAAATGGTGCATAACCAGAGGGACTGGCAGTGAGTGTGTCTGTAACAGTACCTTAAAATATGGGAAATCTTATATTGTAACACTCAGATCTAAATGTAAGAGTTTAAGGAAGCCTTTTTAAAGCAGAATTATGTCACTGCAAGTTTCCCACCACCCCCCCCTTATGTAAGTGGTTTTAAAATGAAAATCTAATCAAAGGTGATAGATTGTTACTTGTTTTAGTAGCAGAAAGCTTGCTGTCATTTTAAAAGAGTGCATGTTGGGGTTTGGGTGAATTTGGCAGCAATAAAAACTAATTCATGTGGGGATTTCATGTTAGAAATACATTAATACATAGTAATGAGATGTATTCGGAAGAGGGCAAGAGGTGGAGAATTTATAAGCTTTTATAAACTTATTTTTTTTATTACTGTTTTCATCCTCTCTCTTAGAATTAGAAATCAGAAGACGGGAGGATGAGTACAGATTTACAAGTAAGTGAACTCTCTCCTCATGTCCTCCTCTGCAATATCTACTCTTCTCATGTTAATTTAGAATAGTCCTTAGTGACTGCTAGTTTAAAATGCTGGCTGAAATCCTGTTTGCTTTTCTTCTGCAAGTAAATTTAATTGATGGCATTGAGTGTGGCTTTAAAAGGGCTGACTGGGATTTGACTATCTAGTTCTAGGTGGAAAGCAGGTAACTTGATTAAATACCTTTTATAAAGCTGATTAATTAATTACTATTAATTAATCCCTAGAATTATTCTCAGTAGAGCAAGTGAAATTGAATTATATATCTGAGATGTGATTATATTAGTAGTACTGTACAGAATATCATGTGAGATAGATAATAAAGGAAGTTATGCAACTGTGGGGTATTTGCACTCTTAAAAGGCACTGTCACCTTGAACCTCAGAATGCCCTCTTTTTTTTTGTGTGGGTGATGTCAGTTATGTTTATTTGCAGTCCACCAGAACTCTCACTGGCTGTTGAACTTCTTAGTCTAGTGCAGGTCAGTTTGTAATCCCAGTTACACCTCTTCAGACCAGTTTGCTTAATCTTCAAAATTCTACCCTGCAAACCACTTAAAACTAGTGCTCTGAAAAAAGAAAATCCAGCTCAATCTCCATATCCATGTGTAGGGCCAAAACCTGTAATAACTGAAGTAAGACAACTCTTCAAGTCTTGAGAGTAGACCTGTGCATTGCTTTTGTACTTGTCAGAGTAAACCAGTTCTTGCATGTCTTCATCATAGAGATCAGCAGTTTGGATTTATTTCTTCTCTTATGTTTAGAAAAAAAACCACTAAAAATTACAGTTAAAATTACTTAATTTGTAAGACTGAAAATTTCTCTTGTTTTTACTGTAGAGGAATATTTTAGTAATTCTTTTCATATATGCAGATATGCCTTTGTGCAAAGATACAGTTGAAACTCATTTTTTGTAATAATTGTACCATATTTTTGTTGCTGTCCTATCTGTAAACTTCTGTACAGATAGAATTAGAGATTTGCAGAACTAAACAGGACCACCAAGCTTTTATCATGCATTTAAAGTAATGGCAGATCCTGTTGGTGCTCAAACAGTTCTGTTACTGTCCTCTTCAGAACTTCTGCAGATTGCTGGAATCAGTCCACACGGTAATGCTTTAGGAGCATCGATGCAGCAACAAATGAACCAGCAGATACCTCAGGAAAAACGGGGAGGAGAAGTACTAGATTCACCCAATGATGACATAAAACTTGAAAAAAGTAATATTTTGCTGCTTGGACCAACTGGATCAGGTATTACACAGCTGTGTCAGATTTTTCTTAAGATTGATTGTTACCGAGTGATTTTCCTCTTTAATGATTATTACAATTTGGTGTATAAAAAGCTAAGCTGTGGAGTCCAAACTGGGATTTTTGTGCTTTCGTGCCATGGAAACAAGCTGAGCTAAATGGCCTTGAAAAGGAAGGAGCTCTATTCGCATGGTTTTGTTTTCTATTATTTTAAATGCCTATATTTTACTGCCTGATTAAAAAGTGCAGCTTTAATTCAGCTGAAATAAAATGCATTTAAAGTTTCTGTGCTTTAGATGGCAATCTGAGATGCTGCAGTAGAAAGTGTTGTTCCACCTCTGGGACAGATGAGTTGCAGGGGAGTTAAAAGAGAACTGATACTTGCATGTTCATAAAAAGTGGGAGTGTTTGTGCTGAGGTGACAGTATTCTGCAGGCTATTTGGGAGAACATTCACCAAATAATACTTCAATTCTGTTTCTCCCCAACTTCAAAGCAGGAGCAGTTGGACTTTGCACTGTACCCTGATTGTCTGCAAAGGACTACTGATTTATTTAATCTTTAATCTATGCAAGTACATGTATTCTGGTTTCTGTGTTGTGTCACACTTTGTGATACTCTGCATTTCAAGCTGCCTCAAGTGTATGCTATTACTCTAATTGAGAAATACAGCTTGCTAATGTAAAAAACACTGCTCATGAAAACTAGCTGCCTTGGAAAATATTCTTATATGAATATATGAGCATGTTGGCATCATTTAGAATATCTAATGACAGTAATGGTGACTTTATGGTAAATATTTGGGTTTGTGTGCTCTAGAGAAATGTGTAGTGGTTATAACATAGAGGTTTTATTTCATCAGGTAAAACCTTGCTGGCTCAGACTCTAGCTAAATGCCTAGATGTACCCTTTGCCATCTGTGATTGTACTACCTTGACCCAAGCTGGCTATGTTGGTGAAGACATTGAATCTGTCATAGCAAAACTGCTCCAAGATGCCAACTACAATGTAGAAAAAGCTCAGCAAGGTAAACTTCTGCAGTGTGTTTCCTGAAGTTCATTCATAGACTGTGTTAAACTTACCTAAGTGCTTGAATGAGACCACCAGTATTTCTGTGATTGATATTCCTGTTGCATGTACCTGAACCTTAAGTGAGAATAAACATGAAAACAACTTTAAGCATATCATGTAGCTTTTCTTCTTGTCCGTATTTGGACAAGATTGTGCACATTTTGTAACCTGCAATACGGAAGTGAACAGACTGGTGCTGTCTTAAACTATGTTCTTCCCTGTGTGTGAGTTCTTGCTTCTCTTAAAAAGTGAAGTCTTCCTTAATTCCACTTTCTGTAACTGCAGGAATTGTTTTTCTGGATGAAGTAGATAAGATTGGCAGTGTTCCTGGCATTCATCAGTTACGGGATGTTGGAGGAGAAGGTGTTCAACAAGTGAGTGCTTCTGTAGAGTGATTTTCCTTTGTTAAGGGAACAGCCCAACGAGTCTATGTATCATCCTATTGTATGTCAGATGGCATGGGAGTGTTTAGAGTATAGTTCTTTAGTTCCCTAATTATTAACCTTTTGAAACGCTCATCTTTCCTCTTCATTCAAAATAAAAGTAACTCATGACTGCTTCATAGAAACATTTTAATTGAGTTGCAGTTGAGTTCTTTTAATTGAAAAACATCTCTGCAGCATTCAGATGGCAAGTTGCATAATGTAGGCAAGAACAGAAAACATTTTCTGTTTGAACAAAACTCTTAAAGCAGGTTACTGCCAAATGCAGCTTATAGTGTACATGGGAGTCACATTAAAGTTAGATTTTTGTCTATGCTTGAGAGGGATTGTATGGAAAACTGATTTATTTAGGCACTTGCTGTTACTGTAAAGGCTCACGGGATAAAAAAATGCAAGTACCTCTGTGAAAGTCAGCACAGTCTGGTGTGCTGCCTTATATGATGATACACAGTGGAATTTTTTCATTGCTTATTTCTTCTTTCCTCTTTAGGGCTTGTTAAAGTTACTCGAAGGCACAATAGTAAACGTTCCAGAGAAGAATTCTCGTAAACTACGTGGAGAAACGGTGCAGGTTGACACAACAAACATCCTTTTTGTAGCTTCTGGTGCTTTTAATGGTTTGGACAGAATTATCAGCAGGAGGAAAAATGAAAAAGTGAGTGCATGAGGCTGTATTTAAACTGAAAATTACCTTAATTACTGTTCACAGTACAGACTCCTAAAGGTTGCGCTGTATTTGCAGACCCACTATGTTTGTAAAGCAGGGGGTTTCCATCTGTTATCTGGGCACCTGAGGTCAAGCCTAAAAAAGGTAGCGAAGAACAAGCCTATTGTTAGTAGGCTTAAGTAGCTTGCAGTGATGTCTGCTTCCACAGAGAGATTTTTAGCATATGCAAATAGGGAAAAAAAATAGGGAAGTTAAAAGCTGTTGGGGGAGGACTTGCTGTCCCTACTCACGTGGTAAACTTGCATTGTTGTCATGTCCAGTGTTTCTTAACAGAGTATATGAAACAGTTGTAGCAATTGTAATAGGATTTCTTTCAGTTGGAGTGTCCCAAGTAGGAAGCTGAGAAAACCTTTAGATATCCCCAGAAAATGTGTATTTTACTCATAATTTGAGCAAATGGTGCTAAAAGCTCTCATCAGCTTAAAATACCTAGTCATGCAGTTCACTGCTTTTGGTATTAATGTCTGGGGACAGAGTTCTTGTGGCTGCAGCTTTCTGGCAAAATGTGCACCCTGTTTCTAACAACAGAGGAGTGACTGAAATCCAAATGTTATGATAATTCAGGTAGCTTTTCATGCAAGCTCACTTGCATGCATTTCCTTAATGTCTGAAGAGCCCTTTTTAGTGTCACTGGTATGTGTAAACTTAAGATACATTAATAACCTTGCTCTTAGGCTGATGTATTGATACTTTACTGAGGGAATTAGATGGTATAAGAAACTGATTATGCAAGGGGTATAATTTTACTGTAAGTAATTTCTTGATTCTGTGTGTAGTGACAGTCACTCCAACTTTTTAATGCACATAGAAAGTGATTTAGTTACATAAAGAAGATGTAACTATTATAATTCTGTAAGCATAACATGTTTGTGTTGCAGTATCTAGGATTTGGGACCCCAGCTAACATGGGCAAAGGCAGAAGGGCTGCAGCAGCTGCTGATCTTGCTAATATAAGTGGAGAGTCTGATCCCCATGAAGAAATTGAAGAAAAGGATCGCTTGCTGCGTCACGTGGAAGCCAGGGACCTCATTGAGTTTGGCATGATTCCCGAGTTTGTGGGACGTTTGCCCGTGGTGGTTCCTCTGCACAGCCTGGATGAGAAAACCCTTGTACGGATTCTTACTGAGCCACGAAATGCTGTGGTTCCTCAGTACCAGGCCCTGTTCAGCATGGATAAGGTTTGAGGCTTTTATTTGGTGACTCTTCAATATTCTTGTTTATAAATACAATGTTAAAGTGATCTAAAATAGCAGCTGAAATCACTTCTTCCCCCAATGTATGCACCTCCCCACTGTGGAAGAAAAAGTAAGCAAACTGGTTAGAACCTGACTGGGTACACTGGTTTACACTGGGTAACTGTGCTTGTGGGGTGACTATCTGGAAGTAGTTGAGCTGCTCTTCATGTTCATGTTCAAATGAACATCTGTCACCTTGCCTAGAAGGCATCAAGAGCTGCTTCATGTACTCTAGAAGTACTTAGAGTAGTTGTAGGTAAAAGGACATAGTCAACACAGGTGGTGTTAGTCAAAACCAAAGTGTAGCTGAAGCTTAAATGTTAAATGTTCTGGTCTGTAACAAGTAAACTGCTTGTAAGTTATTTTCAGTAATGCTTGCAACCTACTGTTGAGTTATAAGTGAAACAGTGAACTAAACTTCATGTTTTTCTCTATGTAGTGTGAATTAAACGTAACTGAAGATGCACTGAAGGCTATAGCCAGACTGGCCCTGGACAGAAAAACTGGTGCAAGAGGTCTTCGATCTATAATGGTGAGTAAATTTTCATGTTGAGTAAATGAAGCTACTTACATTTTTGTATATGGACCTAAACTTGACAGTTTTCAGTCAAAACTTCACTTAGTTCTGGGTCTTGGATGGGATGCAATAAGTCTTTTCCAAGAAAACACTCTAACTCTGAAAATCACTTGCTGACCGTATTGTTGTGTGGGAGAAATATTTTACACGATATACAGAAACATTTTGCCCCTTCTATTTTCTTGTAGGAGAAGCTGTTACTGGAGCCCATGTTTGAAGTGCCCAATTCTGACATTGTATGTGTGGAAGTTGACAAAGATGTTGTAGAAGGCAAAAAAGAGCCAGGATACATTAGGTAAAACCCTAACGGATGTTTCAGAGCAGACAAGTAATACAGCTAGACAGGTATTCTGCTGTTTGCTGTAGGAACAAGCTTATAAACACACAACCTAAAAATTATTCAAGTCTCTGTATGCTGCACACAACTGAACTAGTGCCTATTCTGTCCTGGAGGCTTTGGGGTTGTAATTTGGGGTTGTATTGCATTAGGGTTTAAATAGAAATCTAAAAATAAACTTACGTGTGAAGTTACTTTAAGCCTTTTGTGTGTGTGTGTGTGTGTATACCTGTAGAAACAGAAGTGAATTATAAGCATCATAAGTTAGCACTAAAAAAACTTTAATTAATTTAATTAATAAGTTTAATTGTGACTGTACTGAAATTCCTGGAACGGAACTTTTTCCTTTCTCCTTCTACTTTCCATCACTGAGGTTCATTTTTATACAGGCTGCTGCAGTTTTCTTCTCCATTGCTCTTGTAGCAGTGAAGAAGCACAAAGACACATCTACTGATTTGCTGAACTCTTAAAACAATTTAATGTTGTAATGATGTGGTGAAATGCTGAAAGCACAGGAAAAATCTGGATTTAGGAAAACAAAACCGTATTAATTTTAGTGAACAAAGGATGGAGTTGAGAGGGAATGGGTCAGGTTAAAAACACAGGTCTGAAATTTAGGAACTCTGGCTTGGTTTTTATCCCTGACGGCTTTCTGAGGGTAACTTTTTCCACTGAGGTACATGGTTTCTATTCTGTGTCTGTGCTGAAGCTTGTGTCTCAAAGGGGATGGTTGGAGTGGAGAGTATCCTGCTTACCCTGATGGCTGCTTTACAGGATTTTGTAGAGCACCACCATTCATATTTGCTGGAAATACAAAATATATTGATTAAATCAAATGACTTGGCTGAATTCAATGGCTTTTTGGCTCTCAGTAATGAGAGTGCATGCTGGTAGTCGTCTGCATAGCACTGTTTTCAGCTCAGAAGGTCATTTAGCAGGTGAATGCTTGTTCAAGCAGTTTTCACTGTGGTGACATGTTGACCAGAAGCTACAGAAACTGTATCTGAAGTATCTCATCAGTTTGTTTTAATTATAGGGCTCCTACTAAAGATTCATCTGAGGAAGAATATGACTCTGGTGTGGAGGAAGAAGGCTGGCCTCGACAAGCAGATGCTGCAAACCATTAAATACTGTCAGAATGCTCGCCCGCATAAAGCGCACTTGGTTATTTCTGGCTTCAGTCTGATACTAAAGGCATTGGATCTATCTCGGATATGTGATGAGGAACTTTATTAGCTCAATCAGATCGTGTATTTTATTGCAACATCACATTGATTTATTCGATGGACATTGTGTGGACTTGGATGGCATAATGTTCAAATATGAATTGTATATTACACTTGTTCAATTAAAATGTATAGCAAATCCAGCAGCACCTGGATCCATCGCTCTTCCTAGAAACTAAACCAGCAACGCCGGTGCTGCCAATAGTTAGATTTTACAATAATACTCTGCAAACGGGGGAATCAAGATGAATAATTGGTAGAGGGTGAATAAACCATTAGCTCCTTGCAGGGGGTTATGCTGGGGTCAGTGTTGGGTTGGAGCTGGGTGGGTGCTGGAGTGACTTGTTACAGTGGGATTGTGGAGAAACTGGGACTCGCTTTGTGACACTGCTGGGAGATCTTGCTAAGATGTGACACTAGTTTGTTACAGTAATTGAAATGCAGTAGCAAATAATTACCCTTCACCTCTCCATTAGGAGTACGTTTTCATCACCTGGAATACTGTGAAAGAAGGTGAAGTCAGAACTTGGTAATTGATTTTTTCCAGAGGATTTCTAGGACCTGGTAAGCTATCTGAATTTGGACGAGAAGTCACCATCAATTTTTAACTATTAATGTTCTAATATAGTACATTTTGTTTAACGTATTGGAACTATCATGCATCAATTTTTTGGTGCACTTTGCCCAACCTCTATCTTATAATGTTAAGAGATGAAAGAAGTAAATGTATCATATTTTTGATGTAATGGGTAGTGATCGTTCACACGGTGCTTTTTAAGTTATACGCTCCAATGTTGGTAGTGCCTCTTGTGGTTTTGTCTTTGATTTTCAGTCTGGCAGCAAAGCAATCCTTCCTCTTCTGTTCTACACCAAAATGAATCCGATCCTTTAGGGAAGTCTTTGTGAAAACACTAAAGGACCTGTACATTTTGGGTTTGTTTCGGGAATTAAAATCGTTACTTGCAACTTTCTGTTCTTCGGTGATATGTGGGCTTAGGTTTTACTGACCCTTTTTTTCTAGCATTTAAATTCACACTATTTAAATGAAACTCTCATCGTTCTTTTCAGTCTAGTGGATGTTTTAGGACAGGAAAGGATACCGTGGATGCGTTGACCCTATTTTTGTTGATTTTTGTTGATTTTTGTCAATTTTTGTCATGTAAATTTAATGTGATACTTGTGTTCTGACCTAGAAGCAGTGTGACATGCAGTTGTAGCCAGATGCAGCAGATACTTCTCTTAGGATTTCAGGTTTTATTCAGGTAAAACGACTCACTAATGGTTCAGAAAAAGCTGCGTTGGGAGTTGAGGATATTTCTAGGAGCTTAGTCCTCTCAGAATGGGAATCTGGGGTGAGCTATCTGTAACTGCATCCTCACTTTCCTCCTTTTAGAGTGGAAAAAATATATATAACCGCTTTTAATTCTGAATCCTTTCATTCAAATCCCTTTTTAAATGGACTAAAACCAAACCTCAACCTTTTAGGTGAAACTGTTCAACAACTTAGTTTTGAAAGTTGTTTGGAATTATGTAAAACACAAACTGTTTTTAAGGAAACAAAACGCTGTGTACCTACAGTTTGTACTTCACCTCTGGCGTTTGAATAAAACCGAGTGAATACTCAAGCACGGGAGCGTTGTCATCCCTGACTTCATCCCCAGAAGTTTTACGTTTTAAGGGTATTAGAAGGTTTTGAGGCTTTTAAGTGAATATATGAGAATAAGGCTGTGGAGGGTGCGGATGCGGAGGGCCGGGTCCTCCGAGCCGCCAGGCGGCGCTG